AGCCAAGATCGTGCCACTGCACTCCAGCCTGGGCGACAGAGCAAAACTCTCTAAAAACAAAACAAAACAAAACAAAAAAAACAACAACAAAAAATAAACAGCAGAAACCATTAGAAGCAATGCACGAGTTCAGCTAGATTGCCAGCTATAAGAACATAGAAAAATCAATAGCTTTCTACTGTATTGGGAGTAACTAATTATAAACTATGGCAATAATAAGATACCATTTATAATAGTGACATAAACTAAAAACTAGGAATAAATCTAAGATAGAATGCATAAAACATATAAGGGAAATTTAAAACTCTATTACAGGAGTTTTATTATGGTATTAAAGAGCATAAATGCAGCATTCATAAATGGCTTCATTGAATATTGTGAAGATGTCACATTCCCTTCACCCCTCTTACAATTTAAATTCAGTCTAATCAACATCTAAGAATTTTTTTTTGAAAGGGGCAGAGTGGAGGCTAAAATTTATATGGGATAATAAATACAGAAAGAGGATCTCTGTTTTTTCTTTAGACATTAGCAATATACAGCAGGAGTTGGCAAACTCCCCCTATAAACCAAATCTGGGCTGCTGCCTGTTTTTTCAAATAAAGTTTTACTGGGGCACAGCCACACCTACTCATACTGCTTTCATGTTGCCATGACAAAGTTGAGTAATTGCAACAGACAGTGTATGGCCTGCTGTGTCTGGTCCTTTACATAAAAGAGAGAGAGAAAAAAAAAAATGTGCGACCTCCGTTCTACAGCATCTGGCTCTTACGCAGAATAGAAAGGCGTCTAGACTTATTCCTGTGTGTATATGGGAACTTAAAACTGTAATCATTCCCAGGAATTGGTACTAGGAAAATTGGCTCGCAAAAAGAAAAATGAAGCTGTTTCTGTATTACATACTATAAACAAAGCTCCAAGTGGAATAAATACCTAAATGTTAAGGATGAAAATATAAAGTCAATAGAAGAAAATACAGAAATATATATATTTGCAACCTTATGGTAGAGAGGGATTTGTTCTGAGAGATTTGCAGAGCACAAACTATAAAAAGAAAATTGATGGACTTGGAATACATTAAAATGAATGATTTCTGTTCAATGGAGGGAACAACAGAGAAATTAACAGATGGTGAAAATATAATTATTGTGTTTAATAGACCATGATCAATATTTAGAATATACAAGGGACTCTACAAAATTAGAAAATTGAAGGGAGGAGAGCAATATAAAAGAGGACAAAGTATATGAATTGGCAATTTTTTAGGAAGAGAAACATGCATATACACACACATCACTATTAGAGACAAATGAAGTAAAAGGAAGAGACGCCATTTTACTGTTCAATAATTAAAAGCTTGGAAAGCAGGAAGTACTATCAAGTGCTGGTAAGGATGTAGGAAAATAGAAATCCTCATGTATTGCTGCTGGGCATGCAAGCCGGTGCATATATTTTAGAAAATCTAAGTATCTGACCTGAATCCCAACAATGGGATGCTAGGATCGGAATCCAGGGAAACATGTATAAGAATGGTAGTCACAGTGTAACTTGTGGTAAAAGGTTATAATCAAGCTAGCTCTATAGCACTAGAGGAATGGGCAAGGAATACTACAGTGGAATGCAGTGAAAGAGTTGTTTATAGCACCATGGATGAGTTTCTAAAACAATGTTGAGAGAATACAGAAGAATGAGACTTAAAAGCTACAAGTTACATACAAATTTAAAAACCATGAATGAAAGAGCCCTATGTATTTTTGACAAAAATTTATGTACACAAACATGTAAAGAGGATTCTGAATAATACATTAATTATGAAAAAGTGAATTTCTGGGGTGGGAAGGGAGGGAATGGGACTGGACATAGAGGACAAAAAGGAAAAGGATAAGAAAAGTGAAAAGAAAAAGAAGAGCTTTTCATGAGCTCGTGATAATGTAGCTCATCAACTAGAGCCTGTGCTAAGTCAATTCTGTTCCATTATCCTGAAGGAGAAATAAACTTCTGGGACATTACTTCTTTTGGCAATGTTAGATCCAGGTGCTCAGAAAGTATCTTCAGGTATGGGTCTCTGTATCTTCACTGTCTCTGCCTCAGTGTTGGCTCTCATATCAAGCCAACTCTTTTTTAGGAAAACTCATAGCTGTTTCAGGTTCATAGTCTACCAGTTTGGCAACTCAACTGAAAGAAAGTGGCCTTGTTACTATCAGCAGTATTACTCCGAAGGATGTCTTTGCCTTTGATTGGTTCATTTTGTGTCCTGTGTCCACTCCCGAACCAATCGTATGTCAAAGGACTATGGGTGCCTGGGTCACATGCCCATCACTAGAACCAGGTAGTAGGAATAGTCCCACATGTAGAATATGGTGGGGTGTTACTAAAAGCAAAAAATCAAAGTGGTATGGCTAAGACTATAAGGAAGTAGATTCTGGGGAGGGAAATAACCACAGGTCACTTGAATCAATGCTATTTGTAGAATAGTTGATGTGATTTGCCATCTTTATTCTAGAAAAACAAGAAAAAATGAAGAATAGCTAACTCTAAATATCTGAAGCTCTGCCACTTGCATGATACTTGTTTTATATGATTGCAAGGAATAAAGTCATGAAAAACAGATAGACTTGGTGTAAAGAGCAACTATATTATTTGTAGAGTTGACTATCTTAGGAGGAATGAGTAATGAACTTCCCATCACTGGACATATTCAAGCATACACTAGCCAGCCGTTTGGCAGGAATTCTGTAGGAAAAGGCCCAGGGATTGGGAGGATAGTTGGGTTTGGTCAGTGGTTCTGAATCACCTGAACAACTATTGAAGCCTTGATTGCTGGGCCCTTGTCCCAAAGTTTCTGGTTCAGTAGGTCTGGGATGGGGTCTCAAAATTTGCATTTCTAGTAAGTTCCCAAGTGAAGTTGATGCTATTGTGGAGGGACCTCCCCTTGAGAACTGTTGGGTTTTTAATGAGCTGGTTGTAAATGTTCTAAAAACCATTATCTGTACCACTGGGGCAAACCTTCCCATCTTATTTCTTTAGTACCTGAAATGTGTACAGTTCTGGCTATATGGGTTCTTCCATAGAAAATGACATTTGTACAGTTCTCTGTCTTGTGTGTCATGAGAATATTAGAATCGTTAAACAATCATGCATTATACACGTGCTGTATAAAATAGTCTAAGGAAAAAAAAATACACTCAACATGTTTTTCCTCTGCTTTCACACCAACGACAACAATCAACAAAGACTACTACTGTGACCAAATGTGTGGGGTCCCCCCCCAAAACACACCAAGCAGCGGACACCAGCTGGATGTCCTTTGATTCAGTTCAGAAGAATTTGGATGTTATGTACCTGGAGATAGCCTCAGATTCCACAGGTTGAGGGCTCAGTGCGGTGAGACTGGCCCCTGACTTTCAGATACCAGTTGGAAGTCTGGGCCTCTGGAACTTCCAACTGACTGACTGTAAATCAGGGACCCCATGGTTCCTTCTTTGAGTTCAGTCAATTTGCTTGAGCAGCTCAAAGAATTCAGGGAAATACTTAGGTTTACCAGTTTATTACAGCAAATATTACAAAGGATACTGATGAAAAGATGCATAAGGTGAGGTATGGAGGAAAGAGCACGGAGCTTCCATGCTCTCCCAGGGCTCTCCCAGGGCGAGCCATCCTCCAGGAACCTTCGTGTTCAGCTATCCAGAAGCTCCCTAAACCTTTTCTTCTGGGTTTTTACAGAGGCTTCATTATGTAAACATGACCGACTAAACTGTTGACCATTGGCGATCAACTTCACCTTCAGCCCCTCTCTCCTCCTGGGAGATTGGGGAGTGGGGCTGAAAGTTCCAGTCCTGTAATCCTGCATTGGTCCTTCTTGTGACCAGTCCCATCCTGAAGCTACCTAGACTCTTAGAGGCTGCTAGCTACCAGTTAATCATTAGCATACAAAAAGACATCACTTTGGAGTTTCTAAGGATTTTAGGAGTTGCATGCCAGGAAATGGGGTTGAAAACCAAATACATATTTTACAGTAAAATAAATAGTCAACTATTTTCTAATTTCATCCTTTTTATAATCCTTTCTCTGTTTTTCCATAGAGTGATCCATGTTCATCAATTTTGTACTAGGCTGTTCCTGAGTTAGAAAAATGAAATCGTTTTCCAGGGATGGTGTTTTTTAGTCATTTACAAAGTGCGTCTTAGTCATTCACAAAGTAACTTTATTGTGTATTGGCATCCACCTGATTAAAAAGTCATTCCTTGGTGCTAGATGGATTTGGCTTGTCTCAGCTATGCCATATGCCAAATTCCCTTCAGCTTCCCTTTCCTGCCCCCGGCCCTCCATGGCGTTCCCTCAAAAGGAGGACGCGGAACATTTCAGGTACCTTGCTGCTTTGTGGCCCTGTTACAACCAGGAATTGTTCTAGTTTTGAACTCCGTTTTGCTCCTTCCTTCCTTTTAAAAAAAAATTTTTTTTTCTCCTTAATTTTGGAGATTTTGCTAGAATAGTTCTCTGGGGGTGCTCATGTTTTTGTAATTGTAGGCAAGGTCAGACAGTGTTTACACTTGCTGTAAATTGCTATTATATGAACACAAAACCATTTGAGAGAAGCATTAAAGAATTAGAAGGTTTATAGTTAATACTTAATGAAAATTTTCAGCTTAGCAGAGATGACAAAATAGATGGGTACAAATAAGTACCTGACAAATAGGGCCTTGTGGATTTGAGTTAAGGTGGCACCTTGAAGTGCAGGGAGAGTAAAGGGGAAAGGCTGTTTTGTTGTCCAAGTGCAAACTTCTGCTTGAAAATTGCTAACTCTAATCAAGGAAACACTGGTAGGGAGAGTGGAGTATTTTAGAAAGATTTGCTCAGAATCCATCTTGGTGAACATTCAATGAGGAACAATTTCAATGGCATCCTCTCTGCAACTAAGAATCTGTAGTAATGGAATTTACTTTCTTTAAGGTGGTATATGAGCTGAGTTTCTTATTTGAATTCTATCCATTGTCTTTTAGACTTCAGCTGTGAGGACATGTCGTTCAGATTTGGCCAACATCTCATCAAGCCCTCTGTGGTGTTTCTCAAAACAGAACTGTCCTTCGCTCTTGTGAATAGGAAACCTGTGGTACCAGGACGTATCCTTTTTTATCTGGCGAGGAAAAATAAAAGTCTTCTGAGCCTAACCAGCCAAATGAATATAAATATAAGATTGGCCTCCAGTCTGTCCAAAAAGGTAAAGAAAGAATCCATCTCCCTCCCATTTTGGAGACACCAGGTAAGATGTTACACACATTTATTCTGAATCCAGTTGGTGGCACCAGCAATATGCTTGATCAATGTTGCAGAACTTCTGAAGAGAGTTGCTTAGCAACCGTGGCTTTGGAGGTGAATTTTTGCTTGACCTTTTCACTATCATAGCTGAGTAAATAAATAGGTGCTTCTGAAATGAGCCCAGTGAATATCACGGGCACTTGGTTTTCAACTTATCTGTTGTGAATTTTAATAGTAGCTTGGGTGGTGCCTTTGTGATGTGGAAGCAAGATATGTGCGGATTTGAGACTGACTTTGTTGCTTTACCTCTTGGAGATCATGCAAGTTGTGCGTTTTATTTAAATTTATATATATAAATATACTTAAATTTTTTTTAAAAAAAATTAGGACCTGAAATAACATTTTCTCTTGGGAAAACTACCAGCTTGTAGATCATCGGCCAGTGTCATTGGTGGGTAGAGTTGTTTTATTTCCCTCTGACCACTGAGTTGTGGTCTTTCCTCCTATAGACTTCAGCAGGAGCTTTATTCTTTTGCGGTGGGAATAACAAGTATTGGTGAAATGCTTGGGGAGTTGTTTTTATGTTGTTGAAAGTATCACCCCTGATTGTGTGCATATGAATTTTGTACTGACTCTTCAGGATGTTTTTCTCTTTCCTCCTTAACTTAGTTTACTAAGCAGAAGGTAACAGAATAAAATTTAATATTTTCAGATAATAAGTATTTTCCACACTAAGACATGATTTTGCTTTGAAAAGAATTTCTTAGTAATTCCGAATGTACAAATATGCCAAGAGGTTTTTCAGAGTAAGCAACATTTTTTTTTTTCAGTGAAAATGTGGAAAGTGCTTGAGAACTTCATGAATAATCTTCCTTTCTAGCCATATAACTATTGTATGCTGGAAAAAAGAATATAAATAAGAAAAACGTGTACCAAAAGATAATTGTGATTGTATTATGGACTCCCAAATTTCTGGAATCCAAATTCTAGTCAAATAAATTGTATTAATTTAGAAAACCAATAAGCAATAATCTAGTAAATATGTAAGTTTTTCTTAATATTTAAAGCTCTTCTTTTAAATGTATAAAATGAGTCTAAATAATATTAGAAAACTATTTTCTTCTGTTTATTGAAAAAAGTACTGGAATGATTTAGAAAGGCCCTAGAAAACAGAACAGTTTTTTAAGTTTAATGCCAATTGTGTATTGAAGTCTTTTTAAAGACCTGAATTTCTTGAAGTAACATTTTATTTTGCTGTAAGTTTGTGGTGGGCTTTTTCCTTTGGGGTTTTTAAAAGCAAAATGTCTGTAAATTAAGGTGTTAAAAGAATATGATTTAAATGCCATCTCTCTCTACATGCCAGCTTTAATTGACTTTTAGAAAAGAAATAAAGGGACCTGGGATGAAAATGTGAATTTAGACAAGATCTGTTTGTCTAAATTCACTCTCATTCCTATGAAAATGAGAGGTCACAGATGCACTACCTTTTTTTTTTTTTCCTCCTTTTGAAGCACAGTCTCACAATCACTTATTACAATTCTTTTATCCACAATAAATGAGAATTTATTAATAATTGCTTGATGGGAATGAAATTAACCTGTGTCAGTCTTAGAAATAAAAATCTCCAGTGTAACCAGCTTGTCTGTCTTCTTTTCTCCTCTTTAGACGTAGACTTTCTTTTCTTTAGTACCCTTAACTCCAGAGAGGCTTACAATTAGCCATAAATTACCTGCCATCTTGTACCATCTGGATAACTGTTCATCTATTCCTATTATCTTCTCAGTGGTTAATACCTCACCTAGCTTTGGCAGAAATGCCTGATACCTACTTGCCTCTCTCTAGATGCAGCCAGTAAGCAGCAACATCAAAATGTGGCATCACTTTTCCTAACTTCTACCTATGCATTCAGTTAAATAATAGCAGGTTCTTAGTATTCTGAATTATCCTGTATTTTGCTTCTATTTCCTTAGATTTGTACTTCTTGCCAGAATTATTAAAATAAATCTGTTATGGTGTTGTTTTTGTTCAATTTTCCCATTATTTAATGTTGAATTTAGAAGCTTCCTTCGTCTATAATACTCTGTAAGCTTTTAAACAGATGGAATACATATCTGTTTGATTTTTGAGACACAGCAAATATCATGTTCCTTCAAAGATACACCTAGGAGGAAATGTAAAGAAGGTTAGCGTAGCATGGGAGTATTGAGGCTTGCTGAATGAATTGCATTGTTGTGAAAAATTGAGATTTTTGCATTGTATTTTGATGATAATCTGTCCCTTTCTTGAATAACTGCAAAATGACTTGTTCTCCCAGGGAAGTATGACTTTAGATGTATTACTTCCAGCAAGAAAATGTTCAGCTTGTTAAATGGCTTGAGTAAACTATAACCAGATCACTGACATCTTAGTCTATGGTTCTTACAAGATTAGTTAGCAAACCAAGTTCCTGTGGGGAAAAAAGTTAATACAAACATTCGAACAAATGTAATTTCTCATTACAGTTATAAATATCCAGAGTCCAAGCTTACAGATTCACAGTTAAAGTAAATATTTCGATTTGTGCAATAGCTCATTGCCAGCTCTGGTAAACCGAATGAAGCCTATATTCAGCTTTATAAGAACATGAACTCTACAGATTGGTCTCAAATTTCACTTTATGTTAAATAGTCTTTAGACCTTCTCTTTCTCTCCAAACAAAGGGTTATGATTAATCTAGGATTTACGTTTTCAGTAGTGCTTGTGTCAACAATGTCTTTGCTTAGAAGTTTACCCCTAAATGCTCTGAACTTAATGGCCAATGGTTTAATTATAATTTTAATCAAGGTCAAGTAAAAGAACTTTGGGCTTATGATTTACTTTTGTAATATATACTATCATATTCAGTATTTACAAAAATCCCATGAAATCTGTACTCTCCTGTTTTGCTGAGAAGAAGACTGAGGATCAAATAAATAGTAAGAAACTTGCAGGAGTCACCCAACTCTTAAGCTGCAAATTTGGCATTTGAGCCCAGAGTCTGATACCAGACTCGAGTCCCTAATCTCTGTGCTACAGAACTTTTTCCTGTCATCTGCTAAACGATATCCATTCTTTAATCTATGGCAATACTTATAAATTCTCTCAGGAAAGCCACTGGAATTATAGTTTTTGTTTTTCGTTTTTAAAAAAGTCTATTCCCTGATTATGGGAATTGATCTTTACTTTGAGGGCAAGTGCCAGGATAGAACTGAATCAATATTAAAGTCATATTTTGTTTTGATTTCTGTAGTATCTCCTGCCACATTAGATCTTAAGAAATACCAAGTTGATAAGTAAATGATACACTTGGCCCAGATGACTGACCTTCATTTTCTATTGTCAATTATTTTTCCTCTTAACTCTCAACATCTCTTTTCTCTCCCTGACTTGTCTCTCCTAATCTCCTTCATTTTTGTCTTCTTGAGACATTCACCGATCTTTTTTTTTTCTTCTTTTTCCTCATTCTCTGTCATTGATCTTTAAAGAGCCTCAAATCTCATTCTTTTCATACATTTCTAGTACTGCCATTCCTTGCGCCACTAGGTTTTAGTGAACTTCTGGGGTGTCCACGTCATGTTAATGTGGATGGAGCTAGTTTTCCTAGTGGATGCTGGCTAGACAAATGTGGATTGGGAGTTGTAGGAGGGGTCTGAGAATGGGACTTTGTTGGCATTAAATGTTCAAGTCTATGCCTGGAAGCTGAGTTTACCCTCAATTTGCATCTCAAGCCTCAGGTGAGGAAGTGTGTTGAGACTGGGCAGCACGTGCAGGGTGGTTAGTCCAGTGGGCCATTACAGCCTAGCATGTTGCCCAGGCAGCTTCCTTGAAAGGAATGCTTATAGAATTAATGTGCCTGTGTGTTACACACATGTAAACTGATCTGTGTTTTCAAAAGTTACTTGATGAGTGCTGGTTGAAAAGACTTGAGGACAGTTTTCTCAGATAGCTTTAAAATGCGGCACGTGCTGTCATTGGTAGAGCCTTTGCTTAGTATGTAACTGATACTTGAAATATGACTTTCTCTGTTAGTGGCTTTAACAGGTCCCAGTAATGGTTGTGCGACACTCTTCATTTTATTATGGACCAACAATTCATCAAAGGGAAGAGAAATGTAGGGGGTCTTACTTGAAAAATGTACGTGTGTTTATTTACACATAAATATGTACATTTGGGTCAGGCGCGGTGGCTCACATTTGTAATCCCAACACTTTGGTAGCCCAAGGTGGGCAGATCATTTGAGGTCAGGAGTTTGAGGCCAGCCTGGTCAACATAGTGAAACGCTGTCTCGACTAAAAATACAAAAAAATTAGCCAGGCATGGCGGCACACACTTGTAATCCCAGCTATTTGGGAGGCTGCGGTAGGAGGATAGCTTGAACTGTAGAGGCAGGGGTTGCAGTGAGCTGAGATCATGCCACTGCACTCCAGCTTGGGCAACAATAAATAAAAATAAAATTAAAAAATAAAATATAATATGTACATTTGTATATCCTATTTCCATTGAATATTATCTAAACTTGCCTATATTTCTTAACTCAGAAGTTACATGCATCCTCCTTAACAAGTGGCTGATCTAGATAAATCTCAGGGGATTCAAAAAGATTCAATTACTTATCTTTTTGGGTAAATTGATGAATAAGAAACTGTAATAGCAACCCTCTGGACCTACTAAGTATCTGTAATTGGTAGGCTTCTGTAACATTTTTTCCTTCACAGACTTAGCAACTGAGGCATAAGGTGCATTAAATAAATGACTAAATAAAAGAGGAGCAGAAATATCATATCCTGGCTCCAGATCCGTAAATGTCAGTAATATGTTATGGTGTTTTTACCAGTAACAGTTAACA